AAATATTTTGGAATTTGGATGGAAAATGAAATTATTGGAGTTGTGATGGGATCACAGTACGTAAGTTTGTGAAAATCTTAGTTTCGAAGATTTGGAAAATCGTGTTTGAATGAAATACAATTGTGAATTGAAATTGGTTATGTTGATATATATCAATATTCGTATATCAATTTTTACGTTGCTTTTAAAGTCTATGGATATTTATATTACTGATAAATTTAATATTGGTAAACTAAAACAAGATAATTAATAAATACATTTTTTCTTATACATATAAACACACGATCAAATATTTTTAAACAAGAATACACGAGATACATTTTCAAATTAACTCGACAGCTTATCCTCCAATACACTCTAATCACAAATAGTCACGAAACACATTCTATCCAAAATAAATATCAAGAATCTACACTTTCGAATTAATACTTAATTAAATCTACTTTACACGCTTTATGAAAAACCAAACAAAAAAACAAACAAACAAATTTAAGAAACACATATTTATATCGAAAACAAGATACTCTTTAATCCTTCTCAAAAATTCTCAACTACAATCGCATATTTAATAATTACACGAATAAAATCCCTTAAAAATTTCGAGAACAAAATAAAAATCAAAGACTAATTTCCCAACCCGATTCGACGACTTAATCATATTCTCGAATCTACTCTAATCCAACAATGACACCGATAAACTCCAAACAAATAATTTGGAAAAATTGAGAGGACGCGTCGTCCACGATAAACAAGCGAACCAGATACTTTTGACCGTTAGTATATATACATACATATATACATACACATATACATATATACACACATATATACATATATATATACAAACACACTCAGTGACTCGTCGGTTTGACCGGACTCGACGCGCGTCTCCGTGCGAGTGTACCGGTAACTCGCCACCCAAGCCTGTGTACGTGTACCCCAGGATCGGTACACGTGTATACGTATACGGCCGAAGCTGGGATTAATCTGGGATTATTGGTCGAGTGTGCGCCTCCCACCGCCCGCTGCCCAAATCCGAAATCCAACGCACACAACTCGGCTAATCCCGACTCCCTCCCTCCCTCTCCCCTTCCCTCTTTCCACTCCTCTCTCTTCCCTTCCCTCCGCGCTCCCCTCTCCTCCTCCTCGTCCTCCTACTGGCAATCTCGCGACTCGCACCACCGATGGAACGCTCTTGGCGTATCCTGTGTGTTCCACGACAGTCCACGGCCATTATCCACTATACCGGCGTATTATACCGACGGTTTAAAAGTCTCACCCTTCGCTCTTTTTTTTTCTTTTTCTTCTTTTTGTTCGTTTTTCCTTTTTTTTTTTTTCAATACAGGGATTCTTTCTTATTATTTTTATAAAAGATCGAATGAATGGAATTTTTTCGGCAATGCGATTTTTGATTCGATTTGATCTTATTTCTTTCGCGTTGGATACGATGTAAATTATGCGCGTGTGTATATGCGCTTTTTTTTTTTTTTTGAAGAAAGAATTCGAGTCTTGTTTTTCAAAATTCTTATCTACGTGATTTAGAAGGTTGTTCTCCTTTTTATCTACCGTATTTCGTGCACGTTTCTTTCGTTTCTTTCCTCGAGTACGAGGGATAAATTTAATTTGAAAAATTTTTGACAATTGTGTAATTTCGATATACGTAGAAGAATATATATATATATACACATAATATACACGTATTTGTAAATCAATAATGCAACTCTTTCGGTTTATCCGTCGTTAAATCGTTGTTAAAACGAAACATCGTATCGATCTTAATATCGTCCTTAATTTTCTCGTGATCACGAAGAAATGTAAAAATTGTGTGTAAATTCAGATTGGAATGAAAATATCGAAAAGTTGGAAAATATGTGGTCGAAATCGAGGAAAGTTAACGGGCGAAATTCAAATGGCGAGAGAATGGAAAGTAGGAGAGGGATGGTCTAAATTGAGTTGGAGAAAGGGTTAAATGTCGTAACGAGTTCAATCGTATGCTGGAAGACGATGCGGTACGTGTTCGCCAGGCCACATAGCCAGGTATTCAAATTTAATCCGGATTAGTTCGTAAGGGTTGCAAGGTAGCCTTCTCCCTCGATACTCAACCCTTACGCGCGCACACGAGAAATCTTGGCAAGCCTTGTACACGTACGGAACACAATCTATTATCCCTCTCTCTCTCTCTCTCTCAGAAAAATAAGAAATTTTATCGATTTATGAATAGGATAAAATACGTGTAATATTTTTCTTAAAGTAATTTTGATAATTTTTTTTTTTTCCTTTTGATGGATGGCCTGGAAATCGAGGATTAGCCTCGACATTAGAAGATTTAAAGAGGATCCGAAGATTTAAGAAGTGCGTGGTTCCGCTTCCCTCCCTTTTTGCCTTCGTCATTCGAAATTCGAAGGGCAAATATGTACTTTCCCGCTCCCTGTATCTCACCACGCTCACATCTTTCTTTACCTCGAGTCACGATCGTGGAATTCTTCGAATATTTTTCCATGACTTTTTTTTAACTTTTTCGTGAATAGTATTTTTTTTATTTCGAAAATAATAAAGTAATTGTTTGCTGAATCTATGGCTAATTTTTTTTATTGTTTTAGATTCCCGAAAAATGATAGATAGAATGTTTAAAAATTTTTTCGGCGAAAATAAAAATCTTCTCGAAGAATTGTTCAGGAAGAGTTTAATTAAATTTTTTTGAGTAAAAATCTCTTCGAAAGGATAAAGAACTTTGCTCCAGATCATCTACGAAGGATTAAACGCAATTTCCTCGATCGATTATCTTATCAGCATAAATAAAAATCCTTTCGAAGATATTCAAAAATTTTGTTCTATCGAAAAAAAATCATCAAAAAATTAAAAAAAAATTAAATTTAATTCCCTTCGATCATCAGCCATCAAAAATAAAAATCCCTTTAAAGGGATTCAAAAATGAAATTTCGTCCAACGAACGAATTCGAAAAACGAAATTTCCATACCACCAACTTTGCTCCAGATCATCCACGAAATATCAAATCTCGATCATCAACAAAAGATAAATCGATCCCTTAATCAAAAATAAAATTTTTCTCTATCCATCAAAAGTTAAATTCTTCTTCTTCTTTCTCTTCTTCGGAAAAATCCCTTCGAAAAAAAAATAAAATTACACCGCGAGAGAAAAACTATATAGAATTAATTTTCCTCGAACCTCGAAGCCGATACCGATTTCCGAAGAAATTTAACTTGAAATAAATCGTAATATTTCTTTTCCCTCTCTCGAGTGATAATAAAAAAAAGAAAGAAAAAAACATAAAAAAGATAGGCGAACGACGCGCGATAGTTCTCAGCCACGGTAGCGCACGCATAAGAGAAGGACGGTTATAGTAACGGTTGTCAAAGAAGGATCGATACGTCTCGAAGTCACGCGCGGACTCTGGTTTTCGTTCGCTCTGGCAAACGGACGCGTGCAAATTGTTTCCACTGCATTATCGAGGATCAAGGAAATTCCGCCGATAGTCTATCTCGTTTACGAGCTTTAACGACCCCTCCGTGCGACCTCCATCGTCTCTGCACACACGAGCTGTCTCTCTCTCTCTCCCTCTCTTTCTCACTCTTTCTTCCTCTCCCTCTCACTCCTCCCGTCATTCTCGATGGAAACTTGCTCTACCGAGTTCTTTTTTACTTGTAACGTGTTACGATCGTTAACGGTTCCATCGTGTTCGGGGAACAGTAGAACCAGTATCGCTCTTATTGTTTCCACAGGAATTAATTATAGAATCCATTAAACCGAAAGTGCGAACGACGCGAATGTTACGTTATCGGCGAATTAAACCGGAGAAAAAAAAAATTGTGAATCGAATTTTTTCTTTCTTTTTTTCTTCTTTTTCTTTCTTTCCTTTTTCTTTTTTTTTTTTTTTTTTTTTTTAAATAGAATTTGCATTCTCGCTCGCGCATATAATAATGAATTCGAAGAATTAGAGATTATTGACTGATTCCAAGAGAAAGGGATAAATTGGTACGAAATTATATAAAATTCTTTTTCTTATTTGTCGAATAAACAATTTCTAAGCGAATGATTCAATTGTTGGATCGTCATTCTATTATAATTCGGTTGAGATTGACAATCCTGAGATTCAAGATTCGATGCAAACGCGTATCGAATCCCTTTTCTCGATCCGATAAACGTGATTTCATTTGCTCATACGCGTCATATACGGTTAAATAGTCTAGTAACATTTTGATCTAGTGACATTTCCTTGATATCGTTATTTTTCAAAAATACGGACGAAGTAAAAGTTACTAGTAATTTTGCGGGATCAAAAAATTAAACTAACTAATACTTGCACAAAAACATACGAAATTTTTTGTATCTTATATATATGTATGTACGTATTTTTTAAAAAAAATTATGTAATTTTTTTTTCGAATAATTGCACAGAGACAGGAAATTTTTTATTTACACGTATTTCCAAAATTTCCTAGAAATCACTCTTCAAAAAAATTTTATTTGATTTAAACGCGTTATAACTTCGAACAATAATCCTATATACGCGCGTTTTCAAAATTCCCTATATAAATCGCCATGAAAAGATTATTCGATCGTAATGATTCGATGCATACCCGGAAACCGGTAAAATTCCCTAGAAACCGCTACGAAAATAATTTCATCGAACTCGATCCACGTCCACGTAATTCTAAAACTCCCTAGAAATCGCAAAAAAATTTTTTCATGTTTGTTTCACACGCGCTTTTCCCTATATAAATCGAAAAGACTCCTCGAGCTCGATCGTAATGATTCGATGCCCACCCGGAAACCGGTAAAATTCCCTAGAAACCGTTATCGAAAATACGACGAAAATAATTTCATCGAGCTCGATCCACGTCCACGTAAATTCCAAAAATTCCCTAGAAATGGTTATCACCAAAAAAAAAAAAAAGAAACGATCCAGTTGTAAACTTCGCCACGGATCGGATGGAATTTCGGTTGAATTCGAGCGAAGCGAAATAAAAGATGAACTCACCCGTGCTCGAGGTAGATTTGCTGAGATCGAACCCCTCCTGTTTGGGGCTCGTGTTCGCCTCTTGCTTGGGGTGTTGATTGTGCGCGGAAAACGGTGTCTGGGGTGTGCTCAGGGGTGTCTGCGATTGATGAGGATGCACAGGCGGAAGTTGCGTAGCATTCTGCGGCTGAGACTGTTGGGACTGGTGAGACTGAGGGCTCCTCGGTAACGAGGACACACTGCTCGGCCTCGAAGGTGGCGAGGCCTTGTGTGTCAATGCCAAAGCTTGGCTCTGCAATCCGAAGAGAAAACAAAAATTCAACTTCCTCCTTCCTCATTTCTTATCTTTCAAAAAAATAAAACTCATCGACGAAAAATTATATCTTATAATATATAACAATAACTCTTAACCTCTCAATCAAAAATTATTAAAAATATTGTACGTATACGGTATCTCGAATTCGTATACGTATACAATTTTAAATTTTCACACAACCGTTCCTTCACACCAACTCGAACAATTTAATAAATTTCCTCTGAAAGATAACCCAACTTAGAGAAACAACATAGAGAAACGAAGGAATTGGCAACAAGTGATTTCTCTCTTACGAAAATATATCGCTCAGTACAGAGTGTGTGGCTGCGGCCGTCCACACTCGCAACAAATTGTTCCACGAGCGAGTCGTTACAAGCGACGCTAAATTCAAACGATCGTTGCCAATTATTCCGAACGCGAGTATGGAAAGTGAACTACTGGAGGAAAGGGGAAGGGAGAGAGAGAGAGAGAGAGAGAGGGAGGGATGGATCGAATCCCTCGGTACGGTTACAATAATAGAACGTGGAGAGGGGAGGGGAGGGGAGGGGAGGGGAGCGCGAGCGACGAGAGCAATAATTTCGTCGTTTAATTCGCGGTGTCGCGAGGATGGATCGGTGTCGAAGATCCGATGGGGAGAGGGGAGAGGATTCGAAGTTGGCCGGCCTGTATCGAGGCGAGCCGCGGATGATCTAAGCGTCGCCGATGAAATCTGAACACGTGGTCAATTCACGACCGGCCGACTAAGGCATAAGCGCGGACTTAGATTTATGTATGAGTGAAGTGAACTTAACACTAACGGCTAAGCCGTTCACGGTGTCAACAAGGGTCAAGTGGGCCCAGAATGCGACAATCCTACACTACGTAGCGGCGAAGTGCGAAATGCACCGCGGCTCGCTCGTCGCGGTTTTCGTTCGCCTGTCTGAAAAACTGGATCGTCGCACGATCGCTCCGTTTCCGTGCAACTGGATATCACCGAACCCGGCCGGGATACCGGCGTCGTTCAAACGTAATCTTTCAAACCTTGTGCATTGCGATCGCACCCTCTCTTCTCGTTCCCAATTCGTGTCGGAATATTGCGTAAAAATTTGTATTTTCGAGGGTGGGGATGTAGTTGCAAGTTGGAAATTTTTTAGAAATTTTTGGATTTGAGAATTGAATTGTATTATTGTTTTATAATCTGTTATCTTTTGTTCTGAGTCATGTTGGAATATTGGGTAAAAATCGAAATGTTTTTATCCAATTTTTCGAGAATGTAGATATAGTTGTAAGTTGGAAATTTTTTGGAAATTTTTGAGAATATCATTATTTTAATAATAATATAATATTATTATATATAAATTATTATTATATATAATTATATATAAATTATTATTATTAATTATTATATGTAATATAACAAAGATAATCTGTTATCTTTTGTTCTGAGTCATGTTGGAATATTGGATAAAAATCGAAATATCTTTGTCTAATTTTTCGAGAATGTGGATATAGTTGCAAGTTGGAAATTTTTGAATTTGAGAATTGAATTGTATCATTATTTTATAATCTGTTATCTTTTGTTCTGAGTCATGTTGGAATATTGGATAAAAATCGAAATATCTTTGTCTAATTTTTCGAGAATATATATAGTGGATATAGTTGAAAGTTGGAAATTTTGGAAATTTTTGGATTTAAAAATTGAATTGTAACATTATTTTATAATCTGTTATCTTTTATAGTCATGTTGGAATATTGGATAAAAATCGAAATGTCTTTGTATTTTCAAGGATGTGGATACAATTTCAAGTTGGAAATTTTGGAAATTTTTGGATTGAAAATTTTTGGATTTGAGAATTGAATTGTATCATTATCTTATAAACTTCTACTTCTCAATTTTTATCTCAACTCATATTGGAATTATGAATATTTTTAAGGATGTAATATATTTGGAAGTTGGAAATTTTGGAAATTTTTGGATTGAAGATTTTTGAATTTGAGAACTGAAGTGTATCTTATAAAGTGTATCTTCTACTTCTCGATTTTTATCTCAATTCACGTTGGAGTTACATAAGAATTAAGAAAATACGTAATGTTTGTTTAATTCCTTAAGAATGTGATATACTTGGAAATTGAAAATTTTGGAAATCTTTGCAACTCGAAATCTTTGAATGGAGGAAATATAAAAATTAAATTATATAAATATATATAATTATAATTATATAAATTATATTCGTTATCTTATAATTATCTTTCGATTCTTATTCCAATGGAATTATGTAAGAATCGCAATGTTTGTTCAATTTTTTTTCAAGGAACGTGATATGTCAGAAATTTTGAAAATCTTTGGAATTCGAAATCTTTGGACGGAAGAAGAATGAAACGTGAGAATTTATAGTAGATGAATTGCTCAGATGAGGTTATTCATCCTTGGCCGAATAAAAGAAGACTAAAATATATAGTAGACGAATTGATTCGTATTATATCTTTTTTTTTTTTGGGGGATGAGATAATACACGAAATCTTGAAAATTCGATAATTTTATGATATTTGAAACATTTCAAAAATCTTATTATTTATTGGAAAGATTGAAAAATTTTGTCATTTAGAAATCTGGAAATTTGAAGAAATCCTGAAATCGAGATCCAATAAATCGATTATTAAGTTAAACTAAACGATAAAGTAATGTTCGATTTATTATAATTCATTGTACACTTTATTTAAAAAAAAAAAGGTAATCTGAAATGTTGCATCAAGATTTTTGATTAGATAATCAAACACGAGCAAAAAAAAAAATGCGATATTATAATATCATAAGATACTTATTCATTAAAACGCGAAAAAAAAATAAGAAAATAATAAAACTCGATTATAATCTCTGAAATGAAGAACTTATTCGCATCAAGTATCTATCACGTTCGAGATTTAGATAAACTGGATAAACTATTACGATACACTCATTTCAGAGATAGACTTTTGCTTTTTCCAAATTAACAGATTCAATTTCAGATTAGATTATCCCACCATTCCGTTAAAATCCGCTAAGATAAAGATAATAAGAAGAGGGGAGAAAAAAAAAAAAAAAAGAATTATACTTTAATCTTAATTGATCTCCAAATATAATACTCTAAAATAACAAATCTCGCAAAAATTTCATTTCGTGAAATCGAATATATATATATATCATATTTTCCATTCTCGTTCTTCTTCCTATCGACATCTCTTTCTCTCTCTCCCAATCACCCGATAAAAATGAGAAAGAGAAACGCGATCCTCTTCTCGTCCATCTCAAAAAAAAAAAAAAAAAAAAAAAAAGAAAAAAGCAATTATTCGAAAACAAAAAAATAAAGAAGAATCGAAGAAATCAACGAACAACATAATCGCACCTTCCAAATTTCTTCTTCCTTCGAGAGAAAGGGAAGGGGGGGAAAAAAATAATATCGAAAGAAAACGGAAGAATGGAGGGAATACAAGAACGCGAGAAGAAGGAGAAAGGAAAGAAAACGATCGATGGATCGAGAAAAGGGAGCGGCGGTGGAGAGTTCAGGTCGCCGATTTTTTCACTGGTACGGACTGTACCCGGGCACCGGCTACTGTTTCGGGAGCTGCTTCGAGGTATGCACTCGCAAAAAACACGTCAGACCGCTGAAGACCCGGGCTTGGAGCGGGGGGAGGGGAAACAGGCGGTGTAGAGGAGGACAGCGTATTCGTACCGTCGAATCGAAGGGAAGAAGGAGAGAAGGAGAGATAAAGATAGAGAGAGAGAGAGAGAGAGGGAGCGAGGGAATGGAAGGGCGCGGGAAGTGGTGGGGGCGAGGAGAGAAGGATAGGGACGAGGATACGAGGCGTGCAAAGTGGCGGGGGGAGGTAAGGGGAGCGAGAGGCCGTTTCGACACCGGTGTGTGCGCGCGTGTGCGTGCGTCGCGTGCGCGCGTGTGTGTAAAGAATGGGGAATCGAGGCGAAAGGCGAAATCCACCGGAGGTGGATCGGTAGAGGAGGACACGAAGCGGCGACGAGCCTCCTTGGCTCGTTTCCACGCGAGGAATGAGGATGAACGCCGGCTGTAAGCGGGAGAGCATAAGAAAAGGCAACAGGTGGATGGGGTTAGCGGCTTATCCGGCTAACGCCCCAAGTGATATCGCGGTAACTTGGACGTGACGCGAAAAGGGGATGCACGACCGTCCTCTCTGCGCCTTCCCCGAGGTGTGCCCGTATTATTCGCTCGGTAATTTAAATTCGACGCTTTGTTTCTTCCTTTTCTCTTTCTCTCTTTCTTTTTTTTTTTTCTTTTTTTAAAGTAAAGGCGTTGTTGAAACGATTTCGAATATTATTTTTGAGAGAGAGAGAGAGAGAGATGAAGAGAGAAATTTGGAAGATGCAATTGTCAAGGCGTATTGTTCGGTGGATAATTTAAATTTCGATGCTTTCTTGTTCTTTTTTTTTTTTTTTTCGTAAAAGCGTTGTTGAAACGATTTCGAATATTATTTCTGTGAGAGATAGAGAAGAAATTTGGAAGATGTATAATTATTTTATCTGTTTCGTTTCTTGTTTCATTTGTTTATTTGTTCTTTATATTCGTTTCGAATGTCATTTTTGAGAGAAATAAAGAAGAAATTTGAAAGATAATTAGAACAGGAATTTAATTAATATCTTATATAGGATGATTGAAAATCAAGGATAATGAAATTACATGGAAGTGTAATCGTATTTGAAAATTTTTCTGTAGAATATGAATCAATTGTTGATACAAGGAAGAAATATAAAATACATTTTTTTTCCTTAAAATTAATTTTTACAAGAAGAATTTGAAAACTCGTCCGATTGTACGGGTTCAATTTCGATTTTCTCAGAATTCGAGCAATTTTATTCTATATTTTTTTGCTCATTAATCTAATCATCGATAATTTGATCCAATAAAGAATCAATCAACACAAATTTTATTCCCTTTTCATTTTGATCCATAAAATCTCTCATTCGTACCATGAATCACGAATCACTC